CAAAAGCTGTCCCCCCCCAAACACCCCGCGCACGGCCCAGTGGGATGGGCAATGGCAGAGGACTGCTCTGGGGACATGGTGGGGGCCAACGTGGCACGTGGGGGCTCCTGCACCTCAGCATCCTCATGACCTGGGTGCTCGGTGCCACACGTGTCCCCATATTGACCTGCAGCCACGTCCCACACCACAGGTGACCTCATATAGACCTGAAGCCATGTCCCATGTCACACGTGTCCCCATGCTGTCCCGCAGCAATGCCCCATGTCACAGGTGTCCCCATGCTGTCCCGCAGCAATGCCCCATGTCACAGGTGTCCCCATGCTGTCCCACAGCAATGCCCCATGTCACACGTGTCCCCATGCTGTCCCGCAGCTGTTCCCACCGGGACAGGGAACAGGACACACCCAGCGTGAAGTCCACCCTCTCCAGGAAGTCCCCCTGGCTGGGGGCCGTGTCGGTGACAGCCGTGCCCTGTCCCCACAGGTGCTGTTGATGGCGACGATGACGATGCAGACGGGGGGGATGATGCTGGCCGTGCTGGGCTGGCTGGGCTCCATCCTCACCTGCGCGCTGCCCATGTGGAAGGTGACGGCCTTCATCGGCTCCAACATCGTGGTGGCCCAGGTCTTCTGGGAAGGGCTGTGGATGAACTGCGTGTACGAAAGCACGGGGCAGATGCAGTGCAAGGTCTATGACTCCCTGCTGGACCTCACCTCTGACCTGCAAGCGGCTCGTGCCTTGGTGGTCACCTCCATCTTCGCGTCCTTCTTCGCCTTCCTCACCGCCATCTCGGGTGCGGACTGCACCCGCTGCGTGGATGACAAGAGCACCAAGACCAGGATCTCCATCGTGGCAGGTGCCATCTTCGTCCTGGCCAGCATCATGCTGCTCATCCCCGTCTCCTGGTCTGCTAACACCATCGTCAGCAACTTCTACAACCCCTTGGTGCCCGAGGCCCTCAAGAGAGAGCTGGGGGCTGCCCTCTACATCGGCTGGGCCTCCAGTGCCCTCCAGCTTTTTGGCGGGGGTATCCTGTGCTGCTCGGGACCCCCGGCCGAGCAGGACCCCTACCCCAAGAAGTACAGGGCGGTGAAAACCTGCAGCCCGATGAGCTACCCCATGAAAGACTATGT